AGATTCCGTCCTCTCCCTATACTGCGGACGGAGTTACGTTTTAAGAAAAAATGTGGCTATTCTGGTTGCTGTAGAATCTCACTGGTGAGACAATCAGTTTCCACAGTACCCGTGCCCTCAGGCAATATTAAGAGCTCTCTCTATCTCTATCGCTCTCACAAAGTAAATAGAGAACAACAGTTTAGCACAGTACGTTATTTTCCCCAGTCACCATCTCCTCTCCTGAATAATATGGAGTTCCGTATCTCTGTGGTTAGAGCGCTCGCCTCGCAAGTGAGAGACCTGGGTTCGATTCCCAGGCAGGGCGAAACGATAGGCAAGTTTCCTTACTCCACACACCTGTTTACCGAGCAGTAAGTAGAAACCTGGTTGTTAGTCGATTGAAGGATCGATTCTCCAGGGGATAATATTCCCTCCAAAAAACAAAAATAAATTTTAAAAAATATGATTATTTGGTCACTCAATCCACGACTGTTTGTGGGACGCTGCTGTACACAATTGGCGTTTCGCCCACAAAATATACAGTCAATTCACTTTACAGTACATTCTCTGAAGCGCTTTGAGACGTCTCAAAGACGTGATGAGGCGCTATTACAAATGCAAAGATTATTATAAAATACAATGTGAAGCGTATGAGACTTCTCACCGATGTAATATATCAAGCACAATTATTATTATTGTCATGATTATTATCAGTTTTGCTAAATACAAGTTTTTGTTGTTGCTGCCCATTAAATGGCTGCCACAGTTTGTGTACAAATATAACTTGACAGAAACCGAGAAGCTGACATGATGAGGTGTGGTCAAAATAATAACATGCAGCTGGGGCGGGGGGAACAAAGTTACAGAGGGAGGGAGGAGAGAGGGTAGGAGGGAGGGAAGGGAGGGAGGAGAGAAGGAGGGGGTGTGGAGGGAGAAACATTAATCTATTGTTTCCTTTGCTCTGAACTTGATCCCATTTATCTGCATGTTCCTCAGAGCTGTGTCTGAGACCCGCTGTTACTGACTGTGACCATGTGCCACAGAGCTGAGGTCTCCATACACACGACGTGATCAGTGAGAGTGAGAGGAACAATAAGGATCTCTTTATCGAGCTGTGTGTTATTCAGCCGCTTCTCAACTGGCCGATGCTCTGCTGAAATCAGGCTCCACGCTCTCCCTCCGATCCCAAATATCCTTACACTGCTTCTCTGTCTATTGTTTTTGGTGAGCCGGGTGTCTGACACATGCGGAAACTTATCACCTGCTTGAGAGTATCCAAACTGAGATCTCTAGGTATCCCACCTACACATGGAAATCCCAGAGAGAGATTGTTGGAATGGAATGTGCACTCTCTCTCTCTCTCTCGGGACGCACTCTGCTTACGTAATTCTGGCAAGTATTAGATGCAGGTTGGCAAGAGGCCAAGGCTTGGGGGACCCCAGAGTGTGCGCTGTGGGTGACTGGTGGAGTCTAACCAGCTAACAACGGAAAGCTTGGCATTGTGACATTGATATCGCTGTCTGGCAAACTTTCCCACTAGTTGCCCAGCTAGAATGACCCTCCCCGTTAAGGGTTAACGGGAGCTGAGTGGGAAATGTCTCTGTCTATTACTCTCAAACTAATTTCTCTGTCTATTACTTGCCAAGTCAGTTGAATAACTGACTGTTCTCAGATGGAGCCTTCGTTGTGTGAAAGGACAATGGCAGTCATTTTAGAGACAATGGAACACTTTGTAAGGACTATAGGTCATTTTAAGGGAAATTGGCATTCATTTTTATCCAGATATGCCCTTTGATTGCTTCATTCTCCTCTTCAATGCTCCAGATAACGATCCTTTAATTTGATGTAGTGCCTTATCAGATTGTTGAGACGTCTCAAAGCATTTCACAAGATGTGTGTATTTTGTGGGCGAATGTGGCAACCGATTTGCACACAGCAGTTTCCCACAGACAGCCATGGAGTAAGGGACCAATTTTATTTGGGGGATTGTTGGCCAGGACATCGGGAGAGAGAGAAACTCCCTTCTCGTTTTGACGCCGTAGGATCTTTAACATCCACCTGAATCTGCTGGACAGCAGAGGACATGTTGCAGGCCGGAGCCCTCTGAGCTCAAGGTCACACACAGACAGACATACACGGGGTGGGGGGGAGTGAACGGGGGGAGTATTAGGACCAATATTTGAAAGGAAAAATATGAAGGTATTAAAGGATATATCGGGGGGGTGGGGTGGCAGAGGGTAGGGGAGTGGGACGAAATAATATCTCGTACAGGGAGCTGGCATAGGCACGATGGGCCGAATGGCCTCTCCTAAGGTTGTGGGACACTGACACGATAGGCTGAGTGACCTCCCGCTGTGCCCAGGGCGTTCATGTGTGTACATCCCAGAGATGCCCGCACTCCCCACGTTAAGCACTGTGGGCTCACAGAGTAACGTTCTAAATTAAACACTCTAATGACCAATGAATGTTTCATTGTGCGGTTAAACTTTTATTGGGAGATAAATAAATCGCAGTGACACTGTGGCTGCCGGCTCGGAGCATGTTATAGCTGATGAGGTTTCCCACAGTAATGTCATCGTTGGGCTTGCGTCTGTTAATCTAACTCCCTCCCCAACCCCCCCCCCAAGACCTGCTAAACTGTGTGGAAGAGAGTGGATGGTGGTTGGTGGGGGGGGGGCAGGAGGTTGTCTCGACTCCTACTTTATTGCTGTTGGCTGTTTCCAGCGCAGGACAAAAAGTCCTTGCATCAGATCAAATGGCTTCTCACATCTCAATGTCTCAAAGTGCTACAGATGGGCCCAATTACCTCTACCCTCCCACCCCAAGGAGAACCCCCCACCCACTTCCCTCAATCCCAATTGATCTTGCTTACCTTCCCCTCCCCAATGAGACACCCCTTTTACCTCCCTCCAAAGAGACTCCAGCAACCTCTAGACCTCAACCAGCCCCCACCCAACTCCCACTCCACTGCCAAGTGTAGTAACTGTTTTTGTTCACAAATGTGGTGGTTTAGCTAGATCCCACATACAGGATTGGAGGTTTTTTGGCCAGGACACAGGAGAGGTGAGTCTCTGTTCCAAAAGTGTCAGGGCATCTTTAATGTCCACTCGTTAGACAGGCAGACTGGATCTGGGTTTAATGCTTCTATTCATAGATTTACACAGACTGTACGGCGCGGAAACAGGTCATTCGCCCAACCAATCTGTGCCAGTGTATACACCCACAGTCTTGCTCCTCTCTACCTCTGCGACCTACAAAAACTTCACCAACCTGTCCGTTCCCTCAATTCTGCAGCCACTGGCCTGCTCCACGTCCCCTCCCTGCCCATTCCACAATGGCGATCAAGCCTTCAGCCTTTCTGCCCCCACTCTCTGGAACTCCATCCCAGAGCCCCTCCACCTTGGGCCCTCCCTTGCCTCCTTCAAGGCGCATCTCAAGAGCTTCATTTACAACCGTGCCTTTGGTCAACTTCCCTCGTCCACCCCCACTTGCCCTCCACCCTTCTCTGATCCTAACCCACAGCAAACCCCTCATTGTCCAGAGCCTTGGGATGTCTTCCCAACATGAACAGCGCTGTATAAATTCAGTTTGTTTGTTGCTTGTTATACTCCACATGAGTCTTTCCCCACTCCTTACCCCCTCCCACCCTCTATTCCCCTCTCCCTCATGGGAAGATCTAGCTTAATCTTAAATGTATCTACATTGTCTGATTCAAACACTGCTTCAGGCAGCGAGTTCCACAATCTCATTACCCTCTATATGAAGTAGTTACTCCTAAATTTTCTCTTGGACCCCCCTAGTCACTACCTTATACTGTACCTTTTCTTATTCTTTAGCATTCAAGAGGGTTGATCTGATCGAGGTGTTTAACGCAGTGAAGGGAATTGGCAGATAATCGTTGGTTTGTAACAAAGGCAGGTGATCCTAAAATCAGAGCCAGGGTGATTCTCAGTGAGATCAGAACACGTTTCCTCACACAGAGGGTGATGAGGACATGAAACACACCACCACAGAATGTTATAGAGTCAGAATCAATCAGGATGATTAAGAGAGAGAGAGAGACTGGGAAGTAAAGGGATTAAGGTGGAATGAAGAAAAGGTAGGGAAATGGGATTAAAAGATCTGCTATGATTATCTCTCAATCCCATTTAGAATTTTAAATAGCTCAGTAAGGTCCTCCCTTACACGTCTCCTTTGACGTTGAAGAGCCTCATCTTACTTGACTGTTTGTTGCTCGCAGCTCCTTGCTCAGCCTCGTTCTCCTCTCCATGCACATCATGAGATCTTAAACCAAGGTCCCATCTGCCTGTTTAGGTGGACGTTAAAGATCCCATGGCACTAATTAATAAAAACCCAGGAAGAGGGTGGAGTCCTGTAGCTCAGTGGTTAGAGCACTCGCTTTGCAAGTGAGAGACCGGAGTTCAATTCCAGGCAGAGGGCCAAACCTTGGGCAAGTTTCCTTACTCCACACAGAGCCTAATAATAATCCCTCCAAAAAACCAAAAACAATAATAAATTGGTCATTTTCAATCTACGACTGTTTGTGGGACATTGCTGTGCGCAATTGGCTGCCGCGTTCGCCCACAAATATACAGTCAATTCACTTTACAGTGTGTTCTGTGAAGCGCTTTGGGACGTCCTCCCGACGTGAAAAGCGCTATATCAAATGCAAGGATTATTATATTTTCCCCCGGCTCCATAAGAACATAAGAATTTGCTGGCGAAAGAAGATCAAAGTCCACCCAGTTCACCTTCCACCATCCTGGCAGTCACTTGACATGTCATATCCCCAACTATACACTGTATATCCCCCAGATATTATTTTCTAGTGGAAATCTATCTGATTTTTCCTTGAAACAAACAATATTTTCTGCTTCCACCAGCTGTTTCCCATAACCAACAATAACAAATTACATTTGTATAGCGCCTTTCACGTCAGGAGGACATCCCAAGGCCCTGTAACAAGCACAACATTCGCAGCGGATGTTAAGCGATGGATTAAGGTGGTTGTACTGTACCTTCAGCTTGTCATATCTCTCACTCAGAGAGGAGACCTGGTGTTCCCGGTGCCGGCCCACAAGTTTGCATAAGGCACAGATCAGCTGATCGTCCGTCACACAGTACATATTCACCTTTTCGTTCTCGTGCTCCAGGCACATGAGGCCACGGAGGTGGGAGTCGGGGATGGGCTCCACCAGCCGGTGGCCGGTGAAGGGCTTCTTGTTGGGGTGCGTGGCCCTGAGGCAGCGATCGCAGTACGACACCTCGCAGGTCACGCAGGTCTTCACCGCCTCCCTGGCCGGCTCCTGCTCGCAGAACTGACACTGCACACGCTCGCACGACATGGTGACGGGGGTCCGGGGTGCTCGCTCCCGCCGGCACTCGCTCGGGGAGTTGGATCCGCTCAACGAGGCTTTCTGGAAGCGGTCGATGATGTTCTGCAGAGTTACATTGCGTTTAAGCCCCTCCAGCCCGCGGTGGTTCAGGGAGATGACATAGCGGCAGGTGGGGCACTGGAAGGCTGCGATGGAGTCGATGGTCTCACTGGAGGCGCAGTGCGACACGAGGATACGATGGGCACAATTAAAGCACAGGCTGTGGGCGCAAGGCAAGAGTAGAGGATCCTCAAACAACTCCAGGCAGATTGGGCAGGTCAGCTCCGACTCCAATGTTTCCATCTTCAGGCAAAGGGATCGCTCATCGTCAGCAGTACCGAGGCGGGCTGCTCAGCTCCCTGTGCGGGGACACAATAACCATCAGGTACAGCAGCCTGCATTTATACAGCACAGGAGCCTGCGTTTATACAGCACAAGTGCCTGCATTTATATGGCACAGGAGCCTGAGTTTATACAGCACAGGAGTCTGCCTTTATACAGCATAGGAGCCTGCCTTTATACAACACAAGAGCCTGCGTTTATACAGCCCAGGAGCCTGTGTTTATACAGCACAAGAGTCTGCATTTTTACAGGATCCATCAACAATAACAATAGCCTGCATTTATACAGCTGATGGGTGTTTGTAGTGGAGGTAGATATCCGAAAGTGTGGTAGGAGATCAAAGGCTCCATCCCAGAGTCTCTCTGCCTCGCCCCCTCCCTCCCCACTTTTAAAGCCACCTTCAGGGGTAAAACAAAGAGGAGAAAATTGGGGAAGCAAATTTGTGTGAAAGTGTTAACATGGCCGGAGTGAAGGGATAATAATAATAATAATAATAATAATAATATCCTTGCATTTGATATAGCGCTTTTCACGTCTTCTTGACGTCTCAAAGCGCTTCACAGGATATACTGTAAAGTGAATTGACCGTATATTTGTGGGCGAAACGCAGCAGACAATTGCGCACAGCAGCGTCCCACAAAGTGGATTGAAGTGACCAATTTATTATTTTTTTTCTTGAGGGATCATTATTAGGTGTGTGGAGTAAGGAAATTTTCCCAAGGTTTCACCCTGCCGGGAATCGAACCCCGGTCTCTCGCTTGAGGGTAGGATTTCTGATGTGAACCTGGAGTACGATGCACGCAGAACACACAGGGAAGGGAGGGGGTTCAAACGCGAGAGACCCTGTCCCTTTAAGAAAAACACATCAGTGACTTTTTTAAAACAATGAAACGAAACACAAAGAAATTCCCAGTGGGAAATCCGTCCCACCAGCAAATATTTGCTCTTCAAAGCAAACAGAGCTGCTTTGCGAGGCGCGGCTGGTGTCACTAGGCAGCGAGTTTCTCTCTCCTGCTGTCCTGGCCAACAATCCAGAAGAGATCAGGCACCAGCTCACTCCATGGCTGTTTGTGAGACATTGCTGGGCACAAATTGGCTGCCGCATTCACCGACAAAATACGCAGTCACTACACTTTACAATAAATCTACTGTAAAGATTTACTGTAAAGTGTAGCGACTGTGTATTTTGTATCAAATGCAAGGATTATTTTATTATTCGCCTGCTCTCAGTGGTGCTGACATTTAACAAGGATTATCTGACAGGTTGGCTTCTGTCTCTCTCACTATTCTCTTGGTCAATTTCCCCACCTTCTGAAGATCCAACATGATGGACCCACAGCACTTGGATGGGCTGATCAGTCACTGACGACAAGGCTTCTTACTAATAATAATCGTTGCATTTGGTACAGTGCCTTACCACGTCAGAAGGATGTCTCAAAGCACTTCACAGGATTTATTGTGAAATGGGAGTTACTGTGTATTTGTAGGCAAACGTGAAGGCACAGTTGCACACAGCATGTCCCACAAACAGCCATGGATTGAGTGACCAATTTTATTTGGGGGATTGTTGGCCAAGACACCGGAAGAGAGAAAAACTCCCTTCTCTTCTTGAATTGTTCCAGGGGATCTTTAATATCCACCTGAACAGGCAGATGGGACCTCATTTAACATCTCATCCAAAGGACGGCACCTAAGACAATGCAACCCCCGCCCCCCGCCCCCCGCCACCACCACCAGCACTGCATTGGAGTCTCAGCTTAAGACTATATGATTTCGAAGGTATTGTGGATTCCAGCCCCAAGTCCCTGACATGGGGCTCGAACCCACAACCTTCTGCCTCAGAGGCGAAAGCGCTACCACTGAGCCAGGCTGACACTCACATTCTTCCCAGTCAGCTCCTGTTTAATGACAGGATAGAGTGTTCTAGCTGGATCAGCAGCGGGTAACTTGCTAAGCAGGTATAGCTGGTTAAACTCCACCTGTTACCCCAGCACACACTCTGGGGTCCCTAAGCCTCGTCTCTCGTCAACCTGCGCTTAAATACGCCATGGAATTAGGCAAACAATCCTTTCCCCAACTTTGTGTACATGGTCACACCTCTGATGTCTCACTCGAGCAGACATTTCTCATGTTCTGGCAGAGACAGTAAATGTTGGCGATTACCCTCACAGCTTAACTCTAGTTTTTTTGGATATTTGCTCACTCGCTCCATGGCTGTTTGTGGGATATTGGCTGCCCTCGAAATACACAAAACTATTTGAAAAGAGAAGGGAGTTTCTCTCTCCCGGTGTCCTGGCCAACAATCCCCCAAATAAAATTGGTCGCTCACTCGATGGCTGTTTGTGGGACGTTGCTGTGCGCTGCTGGCTGCCATGTTTCACTCACAATCTACGCACTTTGCAGTATATTCTGTGAAGCGCTTTGAGACGTCTCAACGTCATGGCAAGGCGCTGTATGAAATGCGAGGATTATCATTTTTCTGCAGTAGATCTGCGGAGAGCGAGCGAGCTGCGCACAGGAATCGCGGTGATGGTTTAGAGAGATGCTGTAAATCATTCCTCATATTGTCACTCAAGCCATATAATGAGCGCCTTGGGACGTCCTCCTGACATAAAAGGCCCTCTACAAATGTAATTGTGTATTGTATAATTGCTGCCGGTCACATTTACACACAGCAGGTCATTCAATACACTCCAATCACTGCTGCATTTAACTTGATAGTCATCAGGGAGACCAGAAGCTAGACTGACTTTTCTCATCTGATTTGCCCGCTTGGTGGCTGAGTGGGAGACATTACTGCGGGTAACTTAGCTGCTGTAGGCTCCTACAAATATACAGTCACTGCACTTTACAGTATATCCGGTGAAGCACTTTGAGATGTTTCTACTCCTCTCTCTGTCTCTCCTCTGCACCTCTCTTCATTCTGCGGTATTTAATAATACAATAATAATTCTTGCATGTGATATAGCAGCTTATCACGTCATCGGGACATCTCAAAGGGCTTCACAGGATATACTGTAAAGGATTGGCTGTGAATTTTGTGGGCGAAATGTGGAAGCCAGTTGTGCACAGAAGTTTCCCACAAACAGTCATGGGGTGATTGGCCAATTTTATTTGGGGGATTGTTGGCCAGGATACTGTGAGAAACTTCTCTTTTCAAGTAGTGTCATGAGATCTTTAACATCCATCTGAACAGGCAGACGGGACCTTGGCTTAACGTCTCATCCGAATGATGGCACCTTTGACAATGCAACCCCCACCCGCCGGCCATGGAGTGTCAACCAAGTCCCAATGTAGGGTTTGAACCCACAACCTTCTGACTCAGAGGCAAGAGCACTACCACCAGCATAAACTGTCATGATTATTACTATTATTATCATCAGGAATAAACTTGCCCTTCACATTCCTGAGTCTTGGCATTTCTGAATTGGTTTCCTTTCTCCTTTCTCCATCCAACCCTCAAATCCAACAACAACAACAACAAATTACATCTGTACAGTGCCTTTCATGCCAGGAGGACGTTTCAAGGCGCTGAACAATCAGGGGTTTGGACACAAGCTGGGGGTTGGGATCAGGTGGGGTGGAGGGATAAAGTTTAAAGTCTGCCCATTTATGTTTCAGTTGGTATTGTATTGTGTTGTGCTGTATTCTGTTGTATTGTGTTGCATTGTCTTGTATTGTTTTATATTATATTGTGTTGTATTGTGTTGTGTTGTATTGTGTTATATTGTATTGTGTTGTATTGTGTTGTTGTATTGTATTGTGTTGTAATGTGTTGTATTGTATTATGTTGTGTTGTATTGTGTTGTAATGTATTGTATTGTGTTGTATTGTGTTGTGTTGTAATGTGTTGTGTTGTGTTGTATTGTGTTGTGTTGTGTTGTATTGTGTTGTGTTGTATTGTATTGTGAGAGTCTGACTGGCCTGAGCCTGGGTACACACTCTGAGCCTCTTTACATTATTCTGAAACTGCTTTTCCTGCCAGCCAAGGTCAGCCCTGCCCATCACCTCCGATGGGAATTGACAGACCGGGAAAGGCTTTCCCGACTCCAGCTCCGCATTCCTGGAATATTCTATTCCCTCCCGAGCCTCTCTGGGACATTCACACACTTCCTGAAGCCAGGAGCGAATTGTCCGCTGACCTTGTGATCAGGTCCGACATGTGCAGCGGCAAACAACAGGAACGTGTGTGAGCTGATTTGGTTGGGGGAGCAACAGGGAAAAGAGATTCAACAAGAACTTATCATAGACAATAATCGTAATCCTTGCATTTGGTATACAACAACATCAAACGCAGGGATTATGGGAATCCTGCAGCTCAGTGGTTAGAGCACTGGCCTCGCAAGCGAGAGAGCTGGGTTTGATTCCCGGCAGAACAAAACCTTGGGCAAGTGTCCAAGCCAAGGAGCGTCTTATCAGGTCTTCGAAGCGGCTCACAGCTATGTACTGTAAGTATAGTGTAAAGTGGATTGCCTGTGTATTTTGTGGGTGAAACTTGCACTTATAGAACACCTTTTACAAAATAATATTCCTTGCATTTGATACAGCACCTTTCACGCTGGGAGACGTCTCAAAGCTCTTCACAGGAGTTACTGTAAAGTGTGCTTTGTGGTTGAACATGGCAGCCAGTTCGCCTACAACAACAACTCACAAACAGCCGTCAGTATCACTCTCACCTCTGCGTCAGGAGGTGGTGAGTTCAAGCCCCACGTCAGGGTCTGAGCTCACAGTGTAAGCTGACTCTCCTGAGGGGCACCTGTGCTGTTGTTCAGATGAGATGTTCTGGCCAACAAAATGCTTCATTCGCTGCTTGTGGAATGCTGCTGTGTGCAAATGGGCTGTCGCCTTCACCTACAAAATACAGTCACTACGGCTTCACGGTAAAATCCTGTGAAGCGTTTTGAGATGTCCTGATGTGAAAAGCACTGCATCAAGTGCAAGGACTGATATTATTATTATATTCCTTGCTTGTCACATAGTGTCTTATCATATCAACACACCTCAAACGCTTAATTAT